AATCTAAACATTTCTTTTTGATTTATAAAAAACATGGATAATTAGTCCATTTTTCAGCGAATTACCCTTTAATATATCATGAAGATTGTGTTTCTATTAATTTTAACCCATTCATTCAACGAAATGAAATATCAGGAATATGTGAGAGCAATTTTATATCAATAACTTAAAAACTTCATGTTCAATTGAAAGATTTATAAAATAAGTCACTTTTGCACTAAAACTGTGAATATGTAGGATTTTGCTGTTTGAAGTAGTAAATTTATACCCTTATTGTGCATACCGGAATTAAATATTTCACTGAGGTATTCCTCTATGTATTACCTTTCAACTGGGCAAGAAAAAAATTCAAAAAAAGAAATCACCCAAACTTAGTTTTGGCGCACTTTGGCTCCTCCCTGGCCCACTGTGCGCCGGTGTCTGCCTCTGCAGATTGTTGACGGAGCGTGCTATTTAATGTCTCACAATAGACCAGTTCACGGTTAGCACATTACTACAATGACCCCGAATATCCACAGATCTTCAAAACATGAAGAGGTCCCACTTTGTACATTTTGAAATAATCACTCCTACAGCGATTGAGGTGCTATACAAATAGCCTTTGTTTCCCCTTTTCAAAGAATACTTCCACCTGTGTATCATAGTGTGCACTTAATGTGCAAGGATGAATAATGATTACATAACTCTCATGAGCATGTATCCGTATTTCGTCCCCGTGTATTTTAAAATTTGTTCTGCAATGACATTTATCTGCTCATGCTCAGACTGCAACCCATGAACTGGCTTATTCAATGTTCTTGGTTATTTTTTAAATTAAGATTATTTTCCAGTAGTTTTGGTTTCAAGTACTATTTGGAGATGATATCGTGGTTGAGAACAGGACGTTTTGGGTACTGACATGAACGTTGACACAGACTCAGCTATTGCACAGAATAGGTCCAGAAAAGTAAGAAGGCTCTGTCACCTCCAAGCTGTGCGACTGGTATTTTCTGTCATTATAAATTGGTCGACTGATATCAGACAATAAGTAAATGAAATTAAAAGAAAAATGTGTATAAGAAGCACCTTTTCTTCCTCTACAAGGTGTATCAGAGAAAGGGAGAAAAGGATGTTCCCTTTCTCCCCTTCAGCAATTCACCTTAATATTTGCTTTATCATAATGAGAAATGTAATGAAAGTCTGCATATCATGATTTGATTAAATATAAGGTTCAGCGGATTCATACAAGGGATTTACAATCATTTCTGTTGTATCATCGCCTTCTCTTTCCAATGTAAAATAAAATGGATCGTGTGATGACGGTGTCTGTCCTAGAACAGTCTGGGATTTAGGACCCTTATAACTTTGTTCTTTTTTTATAGGTTGACAAGGATTTATACTGTCGCTTTGGGTTCCAAGTTCAGCGTACGTACGATTCGTGCTGATTGGTCGTAGAGGAAGAGGTCGAAGGGTCAAAGGACACACCGGAGGTACATGTGCCCCAAGAGTCCTTGATCTTGGACTTATTTGCGCTGATGGAAGGGTTCGTGCAGGGGAGTAGATTGCCAAATCAGAGAGAGTCTGATCATTTGTTAAGGTGTTCTCGGTTTCTTCGACACTTGAAGCTGTTTGAAGAGGATTACTACTTTGGATGTCGTTGGTAGAAATTTCAGTAGATCGGAAACTTGTGGAAACCATAGAAAAAAAATGGTCTCGTCTAGATACTTCTGATCTGATCACGTTGTCTATGTTTGTAGGATACTCCGACAAATCCGACGTTGTTTCTATATCTACTGTGGATATGTATTCATTTTCAACGACTGCGTTTAAACGATAGATTCCGAAGGGGGAGTGAGATCTCGACGTATCCTCTAGAGAGCGGGTTCTTGTTCTCCTAGATCTTTGCTCCGACTCTCTGTGGACGTTGATTTGGTACCTTCGCAAACACCTATGATCAAAATAAGATTTTCATTCCTCAATGATGATACAGACGTAAATTTCTGTTAGGGTACAATGACAAGAAGTATTATTAAGAATGCCTGGGTCTTCATTAATATGAAAATCATTTGGCAAATTGTGATATTTACGAATTAAGTATTCATTTTTTTTCAGCTCTTGTTTAACGTTAAACACGTTAAACATTAAATATCATACGGTGATTTTAAGTTGGTGAGCATATTTTCATTCTGTCAGCCAAACTAAACACTAAGCTTATGTGATATATAACTACAGTGTCAAATCTACTAAAGCAATTCTACATATGCTTCTATGAAACAAAAGTTCAATACAGTCGACCGAGTTCTATTTTATGTACTAATTACATCCTGTTGCGGATAGCCTTTAATCATTAAATGCAATATTCATATTGCTTTCAATCACGTCATTTAACTCTTGACTGTCTGCTGAGACCTTGTTACTGGCGATGGTGCAGCGTTTCGGGTTAGGGAACAGTTTTTCTAGTGCTAAAAAAATACTTGCCTCGAAGAAAACGAATTATTCGACAGTTCCGCTGTTGAATGTCACGAACCGGCAATAAACTGAAGGTATCAGAAATTGGGTGTGTGTGATAGAATAAGAAGAAAGGTGATGCATTAAACAGAATCGCCTTTTGTGAAGTAATAACAAGAATCCAACGGGCATAATGCGTGAGAACTTGAATGTGAAAAAGCATGAACCGCATGGTGTTGAATGGTATTAAAAACATGGCTAATAAAGAAGTCGGAACGGATACATTTTATTGATTATGTTTTGGGGGTATGGAGTCCATTTTCTCAAATTTTATTGTTGTCATCTTCTGCTCAAGAATACCTTTTCTTTGGTTACATTCCCAGGATTTACATTTTTAATTAAAACAAATAGTACCCATCAACTACCCAGTACTGCATGCACTCTCGTTATGTCTTTCTGTGCATATATACTTAGCCGGTAAGCTTTTTCTGGGGATGTTTTTTCCTGAAACCTCCCCAGACCTATAGATAATAAACTATAAGTGTTCATTCAGTATACGTATATAAATTAGGTGCGTTGAACAGTGAGGTGCCATATCGTCTTCGTGTCTCTATTGCTTGAATCTCCTTACCTGGACAAAGAAGCGTAAAGCTAAGTATTGATTTTATAGATTCATATATCATCTTCTGAGCAGATTGTATCAAGGATTACCTACCACAGTTTTTCTCCATCCTTTCCTTTTGTTCGCCATGTTGTCAAACCAATGACGCTGACGAAGATGATGATGATGATGATGATGATGACGGGAATGAGAACGCCTAACGAAATCATGAGAGTCGCATTGCCACTAGGTTCTGTAAATTTATCAGCGTCAATAAGTATTCCGTTAAATAGAAAAAAACTTTTGTTTTTATTCTATGGTTCAATCTGTTCATACATTAAGAAATAGGTTTGATTATAATTATATTTAAGTTTTGCACATTTAATTTAAAGTGAAATATCCTTGAAGAAAGTTAAATGTGGTGTCGGCACTGTCGCTTTTCAAATTACAATGTGCCACATTTGGTGTTGCGGGGGAGGGTCTCTCTGGAACCGGCACTACATGTATGATGGCATCTAAATGTGTTTTTGATGACCCGAAGAGACAAATAGAATAAGAGAAAAAAAAGAGGGGAAAAAAGGATAGTGTCCTGAATAACCTGGTATGTGATCGTGGTAAAGATTCTTACCATTTATTTTTGACGTGTTTTAGGCAGATGCTAATGTCGATGTTACTTAAAACAAAGATTCTTACCAATTATTTCTGACGTGTTTGGAGCAGATGCTAATGTCGATGTTACTTAAAACAAGCCAGAAAGAAAAAAAAACATATTAAAGGAAACGGTTATTTGTTATTTTGCGTTATTTTACATGAACAAAAATTCTATAACAAAATATAGCTTGCAATTTCCTAAAAAGAGTGCACAGACTTGCATAAATTCAAGAATTGTTTTGGTTTTGTTTCTTACCAATAAGTACATGATCTACAATTAATAAAAACAGTTAGCTAGCATAAATATAAACTTATCATACACGGAAGAAATCAATCATAGCTAAATTTAAAAAAGCATTTCAACAAACGTTGATAATGGTTATTTATTTCCTGATATTTGGAAGCACAACCTGAAAACGAAAATGTTTCATTTGTGTTGTAACCCGATTCCAAAGATGAGAAGGCCAAGTTTAATAAAGAGCTTGAAATCGCTCACAACCTTATTTGATATTCATATCATTGATCAGTGATTGATTGGAGGACTCAGGGGCGGGAAATATGCATAGAAAAAAGCCATCATGTGTCCTGACCCACACAGTATTAGTAGACGTTAGTAGATGCCAAGAAAACATCATTTATGGGGGTTCAAAATATTTTTTTTTAAATCGCCTCGCCGCTATGTGCGGCTCGTGGACGATGCTCCGCATGTTAGTACAGTAGATGCCCGGAAAACATCACTTACGGAGTTCAAAATAGCAACAACAAAAATCGCCTCGTTGCTTCGCGGCTCGTGGACGACGCTCCGCATGTTTGTGGATGCCAGGATACCTCACTTACGGGGGTTCAAAATAACCAACAAAAAAATAGGCTCGTTGCTTCTCTGCATCGCCATTGGGTTAACACCCCCCCCCCCCCACTTTGCCAAAAAGCTAGATCCTCCCCTTGTACTCGGTGCCGATTCGAATCAGTCGCACCTGTATAAATGCCCAGGCAGGGTTCAAATTCAAATTTTCTACCATCTGAGATGTTTAATAAAAAGAGGGTTAAACGAAATATGGACACATTAGTTCCTGACATTTCCCCCTTACCATTTTATTATTACTATAATGTTGTTCAATATACCCCTACGAATGTCCCTTACACCAAAACCCACAAGCTACGTCGCTTTTACGCATTGTACCTTTGTTTCTGGAACCAGGTTATGAAAGAAAAACTCCGCAAAAAGTGATGAATCTTACTGAAAATTGAAATTTTCTCTAAATACATGTATCATTATATAATGGATAATAAAAGTACCTTATATCCCATCAATTATAAAATAGTTTTAGAAAAACAACAATATATGATTTAGCATACATGAAAACTTGTCTTCCAAGATAAACCAAAAATCGGGAAGTATAGTAACGCAACTCTTGAGTATTTCACTCAAACACAGGGCTTAAAGCCCATTCTTGTACATTGAGTAGTTACACATTAAATACACGTATATGACACACAATCCATATGCTCTAATCTTTTTTTCATTGGTCATAACGCAAATGAACAAAAAATTCTTGTTTTAAACAATTTTATTCCATGCACAAGTTGCGTATGGTAGGCTAACACTGCCAATATTAATTCTTGAATAAACGAGGAAGGAAATATTTGTTAAACCATTTCAAACACTATTATTCAAAAGATTTAAAACGCAATTTTTAAAATTTAAGTCAGACGATTGCCTGGATGGAGTATTTCCTGAATCATAAATCAAATTTTATCATTAAGATTGCGAGCCAGCTTAGCCTTAATTAGCATGATTATTTAGCAATGAGGTTCTTAAAAATATCCTTGCAAATATCTTGATAATGGTTTAAAAAGTAATCATTTCCTAAACACTCATTGAATGATTAGTGTATAATTATAAACAAGAAAAATACTATCATAAGTTGTCATTTCAACTTCAGAATCTTACCAGATCCGGACAATGACACATCATCAGCCGGACCTACATGGATTTCTGTATGTAGGGTAAAACGATGTTGAAAAGAGAGAGGGGAGGGGTGCGTGTAAGGAATAATAAAAAGAGAAATAAAAAGAACGAAATATTAGGAAAATGTATCACAGATCTCTAATAAGCAAATTATTTAAAGCAATTTAAAGAGACATAGCGATTGACATATGAACTTGTAAGGTAATATAATAACATAACAAGTTTGTTAAACGTCATTGCGTGATATCTAGTTCTAATTACCCGTTTCCCTTTTCTGACAGGATGGAGTGGGTCCATGCCATTCAAAGTCTTGAGTTGTCGAAGTTGTTGACTTGTCACATCTCATCTTCCTATCTTCACCCACCAACTCGTAGCTTTCGTTACACTTAGCGGTGATAGTTGTGCCGTACATGAATCCATTTGATGTATTATTCCAAGATCCATTCTGAAGCTCGGGAGGCTCGCTGCAGAATCCAAACGAGACTGTAAAATTGTGATCAAAAGGGGAACAAAACACTTTACTCGAATTTCCTACACCCAAATGGTACACATAAAGGTCGTGTGATTTGAATATTTGATATGGGAGGTACAGGTCGTGGATTCCCGTCCTGACACGGTACTGTTGTCCTTTGGCATGTGTAGCAGGACATTAATCTGCATGTACCACAAATCTCCATGCAAGTTAAAAGTGGTACGAGTGTGCTTCGAAACTGCATTCGGATCATTTGGATATAATCAGGACCAATACCAATTCGAAGTATGTGTCATCACGTGTTGTTGATATAGGAATTAAAAATACATGTATTCAGATTAAATACCTCTCAGTAAATGTTTTCGCTAGATCATTCCAATTAATCTCACATTACTGCTTCATTTATTCATATTCTGGCATGCAAAAACATAAAGATAATCTAGCCAGAAATTAGGAGGGGTGCTGAAAGTGAGGTATTGATGTGCTTTTTGTGCAATACTGAATGGGATAACATTTTGAATTCCCTTATATTCGTTAAGTTCAATCAGCATTCCATTGATATAAAGTTGTATTTTCATCGGGTAGGGTCTTGAAATGCTCTCCAATAAATACAATGGGAATTTCAAGAGTTTTACGATTACAACAAAAGAAAAACTTCAAAATTGGATTACCGTTAAAGAGAGTGGCCCAGTGTCCGGTCGTGGTTGTACTAGTTGTTCTGCAAAGATCACGATTTGTAGGAAGTTTGGTAATATCCGATGCAGTTTGATTGATACAGGAGCAGTTGCTTCCGCTATGATGTATAGCATACTTTGGAGTTGCAGAGTATGAGTTACAGTGGGTAAGACACTGATCCCTGCTCAGCTTTACACTTCTTGACAGGAGGTGGATGTACTCCACAAGGTTAAAACACCCAAGTTGACTCAAAACTTTAAAAAATAGACATGAATATACATATGTGAAAAGTATACGATATTCTGAATTAGCCTATAACATTACAGCGTTAACATCAAGCTGTTTATTTCCAAAAAAGAATCATTTTCTTTTACTGCTGACTACATCAATTTTAAGTAACATTAATTAGTTGGCTCTTAATTGTAAAGAGTTGCAATTGATCCAAATCAATCGCAAATTATTTTTACGATCGCAAAATTACTATCGTAGTTGCTTAGTTTGAAACTAGAAATGTTGTTTTGTCTTCTTTGTGAGACCTCTGGGCTATCACTCCAATGTCATCTGCTGTTAACAAAGAAGATTACCGGGGCAAGAACACTGCCTTGTGGCATGCCATCATTTATTTTTTCCCTCTTATCCTTTGTTTCTATTTTGTTCAACAAAGAAGCACCACACCGTGTTTTACCGGATCACGTTAATATTCTTGAGATAGGGTGCATGTATAATCGAACAGCATATGCTTCATCATATATTAAATTTCAACCTTAATATAAACAATATCTGGATTACAATTTCATTTGTGATCCATGTGGGGTAGTCACACTAATAGCAGCTGTATTGACATTTGGGAGAATATCCATATTGTTCATCGTTAATTTCATTATGTGCATATACTTACCATTACAGTTTATCACTACCGATTTGTAAGCATCTGTACAACTGGATGTAAAGTTCTTGCAATCTTGAAGGCGATAAGTGACTGTAGACATAAGAATATTGTTTTACGTACAGGTGCTGAATGTTGTCAAGCAATATTTTATTTGATTTGATTTATTGGTTTCTGCATCTTTTTTCTTTTTTCATCATACATTTTCATGAACATAATATGGTTTGATACAATATTTTAAGTGTATATAATTTTATACACATAATAAACGAATTTAAACAAATATATTGAATGCATAATTAACATACATTAGATGCAGGAGGGCTACAGAAATAAGCAAAGTAGCTTGACGTACCCGCAGCCCTCAACTTAGATACAACAACAATAACAAATACAAATAGAAAAGACTGACTTGCAGAGAAGATATAAATATAAACATATAAAGTCGTCATTATGTTATATATAACAGCCAATATTCAACAAATGATTTATTCTTGGCAAAATTAGAATAATTTGTTCCAAAGAAAGTCAACAAAAAACGCGTTTATAAAACTAGACATAACATTTAGAAAATCGTACATTTCGTTTATATGAAAAGCCATAGAGTGGTGAAGTGTGTAATTTTTGCAACTTTGTTAGATTTTGTTTCGAAGTATTTCCCCATACTGCATTACAGTAGTTTAAATGCGGTAGGATAAGAGAATAGTTTAATGTAATCAGATTCTTACGGGAAATATAATTGCGTATACGTCTAATGCAGGCAATCGTACACGATACTTTCTTAACAACTTCTGTTACATGTAGCGAGCATGTTAAACTTTTGTCTAGTGTGACACCTAGATATTTCATACTTTCGACTGAGTCGAGTACATTGTCACTGTAACGAATGCAAATATTATTATTTTGAATTTTTCTTTTGGAACCAAAAAGTATTATTTTGGTTTTATTTGCATTTTAAAACAGTCCATTGTATTTAAGCTATTTCAAGATACTGGAGATTTTTTTTTTTTTTTTTTTTTTTTTTGGGGGGGGGGGGGGGGAGATTGCATTCACAAACTTTATAATCCTTTCCATGATGAAATACTGCCGTGTCATCTGCATATAATGAAATCTTTGTCTCTAGATTGGAGTTGCAGGTTACAAATATCATTCACATAGAGGCAAAAAATTGATGGCCCCAGTATTGATCCTTGTGGAATTCCTGATTTCACAGTTTGAAAAATACTCTTTGTCCCTTGCAAGAATACACATTGTTGCCTATTAGATAGATAGTATTCGAACCACTTAAGTTCAACTCCCCCAATACCATACAATAACATTTTCTTAATATTCAATGGATGTGGTATAACGTCGAACGCCTTTTTCAGGTCAAGAAAAATGGCTCCAGTGACCAGACCTTTGTCCATATTGTCAAGTAACTCTTTGACTATTTCAGTCAAGCATGTTAGAGTTGAATGCCCTGGTCTAAAACCTGATTGTCGTTCACTTACCAAAGAATGTTTGTTTAAGTAAGAATATATCTGATTGTGCAGAGCTTTTTCAAATTAACATGAACAACACTCAAGATGCCACTATAAATGTTAACTTTACGAATAGAGACGAGGGTTACAACTCTGGTTACCTTTTCGAAAATGAGATTAGGTCATTACCCCCAATCAAATCCTAACCAACTCTTTGCTTCACATTTTATTACCAGGAGTCTTAGGACAAATTTTGATCAGTTCCAGTTACTCATTAACGATTTAAAATTTAAACACGGAGTCATAGGTGGTTGCAAGGGTGTCGATTTGTATCCGTGGTTGGGGGGGGGGGGGGGGGGATGATAGGTGCCAAATATTTTCGGCAATGGATCAAAGCAATCAAGAGGTAGAAGCGTGTGGCCGGGTTGCACCCCTTCCCAAGGGCGAGGCCAGGAGAGTTACAGAGCGCGCGAAGCGCGCTCCTTATGGGGTTGGGTGCAGGGAGGGCCCTCCCCCGCGAAGCGCGGAAGCTTTGACGTTTCATTTTCTTATTAGAGAAAGAAGACGATACGTTGGACCGTTCTCGACTCTTAATCCTTGTTTGAATCAAGTTCCCCTTCCTCCGCGCGTAGCGCGGCAGCTCTGACGGTTCATTAGATTATTAAAGAAAGAAGGCGATTCGATATGTACCATCCTTAATCCTTGTGTGAATTCAGTTTCCCCCCTCCCGCGCGAAGCGCGGAAGCTTTGACATTTCATTAAATTTTAGAGAAAGAAGACGATTCGTTGTATCGTGTTCTTGTCTGAGTGCAATTCGCTCCCGCCCTCCCGCGCGGAGGCTTTGACGTTTTAATAAATTATTACTCTTAATCCTTGTTTGTATTCATTGTCGCCCATCCAGCGCTAAGCGCGGAAGCTTTATAGTTTCATTAAATTATTAGAGAAGGAAGACGATTCGTCGTATCGTGTCCTTGTCTGAATTCAGTTTTTCCCCTACCGCGCGACGCGCGGAAGCTTTGACGTTTCATTTGATTATTACTCTTAATCCACGTCTGAAATCACTTTCGCCTATCCCGCGCGTAGCGCGGAAGCTTTCACGTTTCATTAAATTATTAGAAAAAGAAGATGATTCGTTGTATCGTGTACTTTGACGTTTCATTTGATTATAACTCTTAATACTAGTCTGAATTTAGTTGCCCCCACCCGCGTGAAGCGCGGAAGCTTTGCCGTTTTACGAATTATTAGAGAAAGAAGACGATTCGTTGTACTGTTCTGTATATTAATCCTTGTCTGAATTCAGTTTCCCCACATGATGTACGTATATATGGAACGTTCGTTCGCAAATCTTTGCATGTACAGCCCGAGTGGATGGTAGCATGTTATCTCCCGGCAGTGCTTGTCGCAATAGCTTCTCGAAAGGAATTGTATACTACCATTAGTGTTAACGGTCACTATTTAGGTCCATTAGTGACTATACAAAATATATGCTCTTCCTGGCTATTTGGTAATGTGTCAGTTTGCAACAGAAATGGAGAAACGCGAATTTTGTTGAAAATCATGTGATATCACGAACATTTATAAATCACTTGTATGAAATACGCCAGTGACATAGGCCTACATCAGCTTTTCAATAAAACAAAAATAAGTTGTGACATAATAATCTTTCTCCAAAAATGAATTTTTAAAGGAAATATCAGGAAATAAAATGAGTGAAAAAAATAAAAATAAAGATACAATGACGTGAATTTTAAAAAGGGTGAACGGAAACAACATAACAACTAGTGAACTATCTTATAAGTCATACTAATGTCCGAAAATCTTTCTCCTTGTCTCCGATCTCATCACGAATTTGTCACAGAGTTCATCTATGCTTACACTGTCCAAGATTGTCTGATGTTGCAGATTGCTACTTTTGCGCTTCGCGCTTAACATGTAGCTCGTTGCCTTTTAACGCTGCATCTTGCATCTGGCGCACTGCATTTCTATGATGCTGTTGATTGAACAAAGTGAATTCATTTATCAATTCCTGATGAAGCCGTATGAACGAGAATTCAATTTATTATTCTCTCATATACGGTTGTCACATTTACTTCGTATATATGTATGTATTATGAAAATGAGATAACAAAATGTGTACATTGACGGTCATCTTGCGAGTAATAACCATTAACTACTCTCATCGGGATCTCATCATTAATTTTTCTTTTTTTTTGAGGGTGAATTATTGGGGGGGGGGGGATGATTGTACAGGCCATCCCCCCACCTGAAATATTGGGGGGGGGATATATCCCCCCCCCATCCCCCCCCCCCCCCCCCCCCCGGGATCGACACCCATGGGTGGTTGTAAAACCTGGCTCAATGAAACGTCACCTTATTCTCTATTTGATATTCATGGTTACAGACTTATAACCGGTAACAGGTCAAATAAAAGGGGAGGTGGAGTTGTTTTTTATGTCACCAAACTTGAATTGTGAGATGTAAGTTGAATTTAACCATATGTCAGAAGCCATTAGAATCAAAGCTATAAACAAAGGTAATCTAAGTGTTGCAGCGGCGCACGAAACGTCGTGATCTTTTAGATTCCTTATTGACCACATTGCGAGACATCCGAATATCACTAGCGATATTATTTACTATACTACATCCGCAATGAGTAATATATCTAGCATTAAAGGTAATCTAATTGTTGGAGAAGTATACCGTGTGAGTCAAACAAAAAATTAAACCTAGAAAATTGCTTATTATTTTAAAAATCATCTATGAATGAAACCTGTCTCACACTAACAAACTGTTCCATGAAAACAAAAGCAGTATCAGACCTATTCTATTACAATGTTGGTATATTTATGTATAATTTATCTGCTAATAACTTACCTGAAATAATTTTACAAATGTTTCGGAGAAATAGATCCCTACATGCTTATCCACACGTCAGGGCAAGGCATATCACCTTCCACTTCCACGTACCCGAACTGCTTTGCCCCCCCCCCCCCCAAAAAAAAAAAATAACGATTATGTTTACAGGACCCAGTTACTGGAATGCCCTCCCGTAAGAGTTAATGTTAGTTGAAGTCAATGTATAATTTTTACTTGCGATATGGGTTTGGCTGTGGTGCTTTCGGAAATACGTCTAAAAATATATATATATATATAAAATCATCCTTACTTTTTATATCCGAGAGTGCGACGGCTGACACAATGCGCTTGCTCACTTCGTTATTTGTATTTATGTTTGTGTATGTATGTACAAATTTAGTCATTTCATCATTTTCTGTAGTGTTCGTTTACTAGCTGAGCAGTACATGTACATTGTAAAAAAAGGAAGGAAAATATAAACAACACCGCCGCTTGTTCCTTTATTCTTCCCGGTTTAATTTTTTTATTTATTTGGATTGGTTATTATTTATTTCCGTCCTCCATTCATTACCACAAATTATTTTACCGGGGCCTACAACTTTACAAGCTTGCTATCATTTTTCTCATTTAAATCAGTACTTTATATTGACCACTTATCTTTATGTTTTTTTTAAATTATGTATCATTGATCGTAATTTCATTACAAAAAAATATATATATTATTTTGAAATGTATTAACTAAGATATGGGAAAAATGAAAATAAATGAAATGAAATGAAGTGATATGCACGTTAACGCTGTCGACATGGTGTCCATACTCACATGAGTTGCAATTATAACTTGTTCCATTTAATCCGGAAGTAGTGTTCCTCCATGTAGTTTCGTAGGCTCCGGGAAACCCTGCCTCTCTACATATAGTATCAGCGACATCCATATGCCAGGCGTTTCTGCATACGGGTTGAGTCAGGACTCTGATATGCTCTGAACCTTCCGATGCTTCATGAACATATGTGTTGTCTTCTGGTGAAACCCAGTATAAAACAGTATAAAATGATAAGTGGCATCATACCGAGTTTATTACACATTTATGTAGATAACGTTTTTGTTAAGAGCTACTTCTTCTCTCACAATGTTCAAATTTTCCCTGAAAGCTGGGAGGGACTATAATATAATCATAGTCCCTCCCCACAACTGCAATGTGATGGGACTCAATTCTAAAATAATCTAGAAGCAACGAACACACTCTCTCTCGAACGATGACGTTCTTATTGGTCATCTATATAACCCTCTTGAGGATCAGAACAGAATCAGGGGGGTACATTAAAATGGCTATTTGTGTAGATTCGCGGTTAATTCGTCAATGTAATTATCATTAAAATGTTTTATAATTACCAGAGCTCGTTATATTACTTTTGATAACCTGTATTCAAATCATATCATGAATTTCTTTTTGTTTCATCTTGGCCTGTGTTTGTTTGTTCGTTTGTTGATTTTTATTAAAGAAAGGCACTCGCCTGTTTGCGTTAAACAAGATAGGGAAAGATGAAATCCTGATCGAGACTCGGAATAATCGGAGATGAAGATTATCATAAGATGGTTCCCAAGAGAAATATATGGTGTAGCCGCATTGCTTCCACTGTACTTTGCTCCAGCTGATGGAAAGTTCTCTTCTTTAACGTTAAGATAATCACTATTTTCGGTATGGAAATCATCAAATGTGACGACAATTCTTGGAGCGAGGTCTGCTCGTACATCCCAGTGAATCTCTAAATTGTTATCGTAGGGTTCTGGATAGTGTGGCGATGTCAGGTTCTTGACATCCCCGCATCTTAATGTGATCGATACAGTCTCTCCATCGGCTGTAAGTAGGAAGGGCGTAAACTTATTAAACAACAATATACATAACAAAATATTAATAACAACTATTTTTTGATTGAGCACAACTTTATGATATTATGACCTAAAAAAGTACTGATTTGCTCATTTGATATAATTTTTTTCTTGATAAAAACACAAAAGAAAAGTAGCATGGAACTTTATGTCCTCAACGATTACAATTTTAAACGATTTCCAAAGTAATCTCTATGATCGCTCTAAATAGTGTTATGGTAAAAGATTTGCTGAACATATGGAGTGATCATGAATAGAGTATACAGTTAATGTGTCCTCAATTAAAGTGTGGAAAGCACCAACATTAACGACATGAAATCGATAGCCAAATCAGCTATAAATTATACAATGTACATACCTCTGCTAAATCTGTGAGTAAGAAGGACAGATGAAGTTAGAAGATAAATAATGGACAGCGTGTATACTGGGTACATTGTGATCATCTCGTTACGGCCACTCATTAAGTTGCGTTCCTGCAGAAACAAAGTGTAAAATGCAGTTAAAGGAAGACGGCTGAAACAAGGGCTACAAACAGATGAGACCGACAGTCAAGAAGACCAACACCCCATCAAACCAACGTTGTCGGTCTCGTGTCTATTCTCCCAACAACTTTAGGGTTCATGAGACTGACGGCCGGCCCACGAGCTAAGCCAACATTCTCATTTGCTTTCTTGTTACTTTTTTGAGAGTCAACTCCATACTCTTATATTGTTTAACGTACTACAGGGCCCCGCAGTACAACAAAATGTTAACTGCTGGTCGGTCAGTTATGGTAAAAGAATGGCGAATAAATGCTTAAATGACTAGACAAATGCGACTGCGTCTCCTTTATGCCTCCTCCCTTATATAAGTATAGGAAATTGATGGAATTATTTGTGACAAATCACAAAGAAAACAAAAAGCATATCTCTTGTGGTTCTTGAGATATCGCCATAGCAAGGCTTAAACATGTAATTTCATGAATTTCCCTCTAAGGCCTTTGACCTTTGGACCTAAGATCTGATGAGATCATCTTCCTATTGTGATGCATTTATATCACCAAGTTTGAGCCTCGTAACTCTAGTAATAAAAATAATATTGATAATGGTGGATTCGTGTATAGCGCTCATGTCAGTCAGATTCGACACTCCGGGCGCTCCACAATTATTATACTGGCTTTAGCATAGTAGTTTATGAGATATCGATACGGTTATGTCTAGAATTTCAGAAATTGACCTCTGTGAACTTTGATCTTTGACCTATTACCCCAACATTTAATCAGATTTTCTTCATATAGTAATACATAATATCACCAAGTTGACCCTGATATTTGAAGTGGTTCTTGAGTTTTTGCTATACCGAGGCTAATATCTGGAATTTCAGAATATGACCTACGCGACCTTTAACCTTAATTCTAAGGCGCCCTCTTCCCGGCTGCGGACTTCCAATTATTCCCACGTCCAACTTATGTCAGGTCCTCGCGTAAAGACGCATCATGTACAAACTACACTTATTCAAATCTCTCTTTGCGATTTACTTGACAAGTGTCACCAATGCTTCTACTTTATAGTTCATATTATATCCGTATTTGATATTACGTATTATGTAACATTGTAATGTTGGTGCAGTTGTCCTAGCTTTCTACTAGGTAGAAGTATATGCTTTAACTAATGGCTGCTAGGACAACATCACCATGGCGCCTTGAAACATAGTATTAGGAAAATTGAAATTCACCCTATTATTATTATTATTTTGTCGGTTTATCTCTTCCGACAAATTTCGAATCTGCTTAAAAACCACCGTAACAGCTCTATAAGGAATAGGGACTTTAAGATTTGCGTGGACCGATACGTGTGACGTCCATTCAAGGCATTGCATTAAAAGGACGTCGATCGTAGCAATCCACGTTGTGGTTGTGCAAATCTAGTCCCCCCCCCCCCCCTCCCATTTTTCCCGGTACGGTAGTGTGCTTTTGTGCGACGGATAATATTATTTGTCTGCGGTACGATTGTATAGCAGACAAAATGTTGTTTGTATCGTTAATGAATGCATACCTATGTGGGTCCGGGGCTGTGCCCCGATGGAATGCAATTTGCATAGGCAGCTCGTACAGGTGTGCGAGCTAATTCTGCCACGAATACCAGGGCGTGGCATGAATTAGTGTGTAATTGACTCATTCTAGCTTGAACTTTCAACGAGACAACTTTTATTTACAATAAAAGTGCGTTGTGTCATGTAGTGTTACGACATGACTGTGTTTGAATAAGGTTTTCCAGAGTTTTTATGCTCGTTGAGTTTTACCTCTGGTTTTTCATCCTGGACCATTATCGGTCCGGTTTCCAGTGAAGGAAACGAGAAGAAATGTTTGTTAAACATTCATACTGAATAAACGGCCGGCTCTCAGTAGTCGTTGTCAGGCTATTCGTTGTCAGGCTATTCCACAATAATTGAAGTGTATTATTGTGTTATTTGTGTGTATTGGGAGTCAAGAGGGATGACAGACGAAATAATATGTGAGATTATAAAACAGACCATGCTTTGATGTTTCGAATAATGAGGAAAAACAAACAACGAAAAAAAAAACATTAACAGAAATCGAAAGCCCGTAGAATCCCTTATGCGGTTGAATCTAATCAAGGAGTTTAAAGGCCGTGTAAAATGTCAAGGATTGGGAAGTCAAAACATAAAATAGTGATTTTTGAAAAAGAAAAGTAAAGTGGCTTTGATGGGATGCTCGAGACCGCCTCAAAGTCTGAAAGAAATCAGGATAAAGGAAAGGACGTAGAAAGGGTTCATAAGCAATGCGTACAAAACAAAGGAACTTTGCGGTATGACGCGTACTGTATAAATGGCCGTCCATATTTTACAAAATCATCCAGGGTAATGATGGCTTCAAAAATGGCTCCTTTGACATATTTTCACGATCCGGCTTCGAGAAATCATGCAGTTTTGCCCCCCCCCCCCCCCCCCCAAGAATATGCTTGCAAAATTTCAGGAAACAAAAATATCGGAAAAGGGGGCGAAAATCATTCTGAAAAGATGAAGTCATCGCCAACACGTGTTATAATTGGGCTGAAATCCAGCCGAATCCGTATTGTGGCCCTTGTTCAAATGCGTTTAACTGCAAACTTTTGTGTAAACAAATACCGTATTTGGTATCATTCGAAACGGTGATATTTTGCAGTTAGTTTGAAACCTTTGTCATATGCGCTTAATGTACTGCAAGTTTGAAACTGGCTTTTGTGTAATGCAATGCTTATATCGTCAAAAAGAAAGACAACATGATTATTTGATTTACATAATCCTGAATTGACCGATGAATTGGCAGAATAATGTGAAGGCCAATTAACAGAAAAAGAATGCCAGCAAGTTATTTCTGAGTTTGCCAAAAACAAAGCGCCTGGAAGTGATGGCCTGAATATTGAGTTTAATCATTTTTTTTTGACAGAAGTTAACTGTTTGCTTGTAAACTCACTAAACGAAGGATTTGAAAATAATGAACTTTCTAACACGCAAAGACAAGCCATAATTAAGCTATTACAAAAAAAAAGGTGATCAAACTAATTTAGACAATTTTAGACCAATCTCACTTCTTAATTATGATTACAAGATTGCGGCATCAGTCCTAACTTAAAGACTCCAGCAGGTAATTCCCACATTAATTTCCAATGATCAAGTAGGGTACATCAAGGGTAGAAGTTTAGCAGAAAATATCAGATTAATTGAAGATATATTTTATTATGTCCAAAACCACTCAAAGGACTCGCATTTTTAACAGATTTTAGAAAAGCATTTGATTGTCTAAGTTGGGATTTTCTCTTTGAATGTTTACGAAAATTTGGATTTAAAAATGATTTTTGCAGATGGGTTAATACTCTGTACACAAAGGTTAAAAGCAGTGTCAATGTAAACGGTTGGTTAACAGAACAAATTAACATAACAAGAGGCGTACGCCAAGGGTGCCCTCTCTCGGCCCTGCTATTCATACTCGCTGCAGAGGTACTAGCTATTAAAATAAGAAACGATCTAGGCATCACAGGAATAACCCTTTTTGATTCACTCGAAATACAGATACTGCAATTTGCGGATGACGCAACAATTTTTGTTAAAGACGATGTCATCAAAAAAACTCTAGATTTGTGTCTTTG